GTTACAACAAAAATATTCGTGAAGTTTGCCCCACCAAGTATTTCTGGCTCCCTCAATTGAACAGAGTGGTAGTGTGGCACAAGAAGTTCTAGTGATTGAGATCTATTTAATGAACTTATAATAATTTCCTCGATATCAATAAATAAGTTAGTGTATGGTATAACTAAGTGTATGTATGTTAAAGGCACCTAGCGTAAATACCTGAAGGATGCGTTAGCGCTTTGTCATATATCAATAAGATTCCATTCAAGACTCTATGGACAATTCAACCGAGGTATACCTTGCACCGTGTCCTAAGTGGTTAAGTAGGGACAGTATCAGGGAAATACCATAAGGTTAAGCCCACTCAGAGTATGCTGGAAGGCATGCCATAATAAGGAGTGAAGATGCCAGGAGTTTAGTTCCACGTCCTTAGGTTCCGCCTAAGGCCTATGGTTATCTTCAAGTGGCAGTTAATGTTTATCTAAAAACTTGCATCTGCAGAAAAGGAAGATGGTTTATTTCTTTTAAGGTTATATTTAGATGTCCAAATAAAACTTTTCTAGATATCAGTTTTCTGTTAAGTACAGCACACATATGAAGATGGTTTATCCTTTAGCTATAAATACTGTATTTTTCCTTTATACCCATGATCACTGATGTGCTGCTGCTTTTGTGCCAGAGTTGTATTCATTCCATATAAACTGTGGGGGAGGAGAAGTCATTGCTAATGGAAGTACAATGTATGAAGATGACATGGACCCTGCAACTCCTTCAAAGTTTTCCCTGAGTAGATATAACTGGGCATATAGCAGCACTGGGAATTTCATGGACGATAGTCGTAATGACATATATATAGCAACTAATACATCTAGGCTCACGATGAATGATTCTCAATTGTACATGAATGCACGCCTTTCGCCGCAATCTCTTACTTATTATGGGTTTTGCTTGCTTAATGGGAACTACACTGTGAGCCTCCATTTTGCAGAAATTGTGTTTACAAATGACAAGACAAGTGCAAGTCTTGGAAGACGTGTATTTGATATATATATTCAGGTAGTTCTAGTTTGCTAAATTACATTTCCATTAACATTTAAGGCTCTGGGTTTAATTAGGTGAAAGTATTGCAGGGAAAACTGGTGTGGAAAGATTTTAACATTGTGGATGAAGCAGGTGGTGTTGGTAAGGCAGTCATTAAAAAATCCACTGCAGTTGTGACATCTACCACCTTAGAGATTCGCTTTCATTGGGCTGGGAAAGGAACAACAGTGATCCCTGTTAGGGGAACTTATGGTCCTCTGGTTTCAGCTATATCTGTAGATCCTGGTAAGTATAATTTATTTAAGCCGTTCTTGAGGCTTTTGTCATTCTACAGAAAATACTAGAATGTTATTAGTCATGTTGTTAGTTTAAGATAAGATGAGTCCTGCTATTTCTTTAAGCTTGTCGGTAAGTGTGTAATGTTAAATTAAGATACAATGAGTCCGACAGTTTCTTAAATATTTCGTACTTATTAACTATACAGGTTCTTAGCTTCTTTTTTAGTCCGACAATGTTAAACAAACACAAACTTGTTGTCTTGTCACATGAAAGTGAGATTTGTTGATATAAACC